AAATCTTTCAGTGGGCTGCAGAAAACAATATGAAGTTCAACGATGAGAAATTTCAATTACTCAGATATGGTAAAACGAGGAAATTAAATCTTCATCAGAGTACAAAAAAATTCTGGCCACAAAATAGAGCGAAACGCCCCAAAGTCAAAGACCTGGGAGTGATCATGTCGGAGGATCTCACCTTCAAGGACCATAAATTTTATCAAACGCATCTGCTAGAAAAATGACAGGATGGATATATGAGAACCTTCAAAACTAGGGAGGCCAAGCCCATGATGACACTCTTCAGGTCACTTGTTCTATCTAGGCTGGAATATTGCTGCACACTCACAGCACCTTTTAAGGCAGGTGAAATTGCTGACCTAGAAAATGTACAGAGAACCTTCACGGCGCGCATAACGGAGATAAAAACACCGCAATTACTGGGAGCGCTTGAGGTTCCTAAACCTGTATTCCCTGGAACGCGGCGGGAGGGGATAATGGGTTATATACACCTGGAAAATCCTAGAGGGACTAGTACCGAACTTGCACACGAAAATCACTCACTAAAGAAAGCAAAAGACTTGGCAGACGATGCAACATCCCCCCAATGAAAAGCAGGGGTGTACTAGCACGTTAAGAGACCATACAATAAGTGTCAGGGGCCCGAGACTGTTCAACTGCCTCACAGCATACATAAGGGGGATTACCAACAGACCCGTGGCAGTCTTCAAGCTGGCACTGGACAAGCGCCTAAAGTCGGTTCCTGACCAGCCGGGCTGTAGCTCGTACGTTGGTTTGCGTGCAGCCAGCAGCAACAGCCTGGTTGATCAGGCTCTGATCCACCAGGAGGCCTGGTCACAGACCGGGCTGCGGGGGCGTTGACCCCTGGAACTTTCTCCAGGTAAACTCCAGGTAAACACACTGTTCACCTCAAGAAACTTTCTTTTCTTGTCTCTGCTCACAGTGAAGGGTAGTGTTAGAGACATCAATAGTGCACGTATAGCCCAGTAGCACACTGACACAACCTGTCTAGTTGAGCTGATCGTGTGGCAAGGTGTCCGTACTTTGTACTCTGTACTAATTGTGGTCATCTAGTAGGATCCACATTCTACTGTAATGTTGTCATTCTGGCGATCTAGTATTATGTCACATGCATAACCTTAGCATCACAAATACAGCAGGGCCCCGCTTTACGGTGTTCCGCTAATATGGACATTTCAAATTATGACCAAATCTCGCTATACGGCTCCCCCCACCTGTCTTTCTAATACGGTCACAGCACAGCGGCCCACCGAGTTTGTTTACATTCTCCCTGAGCACATCTCCTTATTATGTCTGGAAACTTTCCAAAATTTCAAGTGTTTTAAAGTTATTGTATATTTTATATGTATTGTACTTGATAATTAAACTTATGTACACCTGTACCTAAATAAACTTACACACTGTGCTGGCATGTAGGTACACATTAAAATCACTAAGAGTCTCTCTACTCTTGATGCAATAATATAATAATAATAATAAAATAATAATTAATAATAATAATCTCTTGGGCGCATTAATGTCGCATATACGTTAATACAGTGGACCCCCGGTTAACGATTTTAATCCGTGCAAGAGGGCTCATCGTTATGCGAAATAATCGTTATGCGAATGAAATTTCCCCATAGAAAATGGAAATCAAATTATCCGTGCAAGACGCCCAAAAGTATGAAAAAAAATTTTTTTTTACCACATGAAATGTTAATTTTAATACACACAAACTGAAAAAGGCATGCACAATTAAATGACACTTACTTTTATTGAAGATCTGGTGATGATTGATGGGATGGCGAGGAGGGGAGAGCATTATCTTCTTACTGTTTAGAAGGGGAATCCCTTCCATTACGACTTGAGGTAGCAAGTCTTTTCGGGGTACTTTCCTTCTTCTTTTAATGCCACTAGGACCAGCTTGAGAGTCACTGGACCTCGTCGCACAACAAATCTGTCCATAGAGCTCTGTACTCCCGTTCCTTTACGATTTGTCTAAAATGGGCCACAACATTGTCATTGAAATAGTCACCAGCACGGCTTTGCAACAGCTGTGTCAGGGTGATTTTCATCTATAAGGTTTGCAGTTAACCCACTGTGCACACATTTCCTTAATCTTTGAAGTAGCACAATGGATTCCACAACTGGCATAGGCTTCTCAGGGTTAGCCCCAAACCCTTCAAATCTTTCTTAATTTCCATACTAATTCTCACCCTTTTTACCCACAGGGTTGGCACTAGAAGCTTTCTTGGGGCCCCATGGTCACTTATTTTCCAGAAACAGCACCGAAAATACTGTAATATACGAAATATTCCGAGTGTATGCTTGGATGTTACCGCGGAGGCTGGCTGGTAAACAATGGGACGGAGCGGCACATGTGAGGCTGGCTGAGGGCACATTGGACGCGTCTCGGACGAAAATCGGTATGCGGGGCAAAAATTTTGCGATAAAAGTAATCGTTATGCGGAAAAATCGCTATGCGATGCCATCGTTATGCGGGGGTCCACTGTATAGACATTTCCCTTAATCTATCTATGATATTTTTTTCAAAATTATATAAGAAACACATTATGTAACACACAAACATGATACATGCACCCACAGTATAAAAATTTATACAAATATATATGAGATGTTTACCAAACGGTTTGTAGAAGTGTCGGAAGAATTACGTTTTCTCTAGCCCATCACCTGTTACTAGGGATAACTGTAGAAAAATATTCTTTCGTATGCCTTCACTTTATAGCTATAATTCTGTACTAACTTGTACACAGTGTAAGAGTATTTGTTTCGTGATTTAATTATTATAATAATAATAAAAATATTATAAGGTAAAAGTTTCACAAACTCTTACAAATGTACATGAATGAACTAAAACTGGACACGTATTAATACCGTCTATTTCGCCTGACCGAGTGATCGTCCACAACCTGTTCAGTTTGTTTGTTTACGCTGTCTGAGCTCGGTGTATCATTAAATGTTGTATATTACGTTAATATACACATTTTCATTAATCCATCCGTGATATTTTTTTCAAAATTATATAATAAACACGATACATAACATAAATACATAACATATGTGTAGAGAACCTTGGATAACCCAAAAAAGTCAGAGTGACTTACTTCCATTGCCTTCACTCAGAGCATCATTTCCTCTCAAAATGATGTTACATGAGAATGGGAGTGTTCTTCTTCATTTATTCTACCATATCAATGTAGAGACAACCTGTACACAATGTAACTTGTACACAAACCAGACGTGTACACTGTTTACAAAACTTACCTTCGCCTGGTTTGTTTACATAACTCTGCGCCTGTCCTCTCTCATGCACTCATTCTTTCTCTCTGGTATGGTAGCCTGGCTGACTACCATACATACCACACTTGATTTTTTACAATAAATACTACTCATCTCACCCTATATTTTAAGGTAAGTAATGAGTGAACTGTATATACATTTTATCGCTCTGGGATGCTTAAATATCATAGAATAGTATGTGTGGGTGGGTTGGCCTGGTATGGTAGCCTGGCTGACTACCATACATACCACACTTGATTTCTTACAATAAATACTACTTGTCTCACCCTAGATTAAGACTATAAATATTTTAAGGTAAGTAATGAGTGCACTATGTGTGTATTGTACTTTTTTATTGTTTTTTGATGCCTGGTTCTATTGCTAACATAATATATGTTAGTGTAAACTTGTTATCTAGTGTTTGTATGCATTTGTAAGTGGAAAAAAAGGGTGTTCCACTTTACGGCGGTTTCTGCTTTACGGCGGTAGCCTGGAACCTAACCCGCCGTATAAGTGGGGCCCTCCTGTACTTTAATGTTTTTTTATAGAAGAAAGCTCAGTAAATCAATATATTAATATGAGTGCTCATGAGCCACAAAAAATCAACCTGCAGGCCACTTGTGGCCTACTTGCCTGTAGTTGGATCACCCTGGCATAGATTATGCTAGATTAGATTGCATTATGTTAGGTTAAGTTATGTTAACTTAAGATACGTTTGCTTTAGTTAGGTTTACCTGGAATTTTCCCGGAGAGGGTTTCGGGGGTCAACGCCCCCAAGGCCTGGTCTGAGGCCAAGCCTCATGGTGGATCAGGGTCTGATCAACCAGGCTGTTACTGCTGGCCACACACAAGCTGACATACGAAGCACAGCCCAGTTGGTCAGGTACTGACTTTAGGTGCCTGTCCACTGCCTTCTTGAAGACAGCCAGGGGTCTATTGGTAATCCCCCTTACGTATGCTGGGGAGGCAATTGAACAGTCTTGGGCCCCGGACACTTATTGTGCTGGCTCTCAGTGTACTCGTGGCACCCCTGCTTTTCATCGGGGGAATGTTGCATCTCCTGCCGAGTCTTTTGCTTTCATATGGGGTGATTTTCGTGTGCAGGTTTGATACCAATCCCTCCAGGACCTTCCAAGTGTATATTATCATGTATCTCTCTCGCCTGCGTTCGAGGGAATACAGATCAAGGACCTTCAAACGTTCCCAGTAGTTTAGGTGCCTTATCGCACTCATGTGTGCCGTGAAAGTTCTTTGTACACTCTCCAGGTCTGCAATGTCGCCAGCCTTGAAGGGGGCCGTTAGTGTACAGCAGTATTCCAGCCTAGAGAGCACAAGCGATTTGAAGAGAATCATCATGGGCTTGGCGTCCCTAGTTTTGAAGGTTCTCATTATCCATCCTATCATTTTCCTAGCGGATGAGTTAGATACATTGTTTTGGTCTTTGAAGGCGAGATCCTCTGACATTATCACTCCCAGGTTAGGTTATTTTTTAGATTAGGTTACATTTTAGGTTAGGTTACGTTTTAGGTTAGGTTGCGTTTTAGGTTAGGTTGCGTTTTAGGTTAGGTTGCATTTTAGGTTAGGTTGCGTTTTAGGTTAGATTAAGTTACGTTAGCTTAAGTTACGTTAAGTCACTTTAGTTATGGTTGTTGGTAATGGTTGGATTTCTTTAGTATTGATTTTTCTCACAGATAAAAGGGTTGGCAGATGTAGCGAGCAAAGAGGAAGATGATGGAGGAGGAGGAAAAGAGCGCCTTCGGGAGGGTAGTGGGTCATCATCGACGCCTCCACCAACCAAGAGACCCAAGCCCTCTCCTGTGGACACAGCCCTCAACTTGGAAGCACGGGAGCAGCGACCACCTACCTCCAGGGACCCCCGCCCAGACATGAGGGACATGAGGGACCTACCGAACTTCAACATGCCTGGTGGATATCCTCGCAGGCCTACCTCACCCTCAGGACCCTCGCTACCTACCTCAGCTTCCCTCACTCCTGCGAGATCTTTCCTCTACTCCTCCCCTCTTATATCGCGCACCTCCTGCAAGAGTCCTGGTCCTGCTCTGCAGGCACCGGGATTCTTCCCTGGGGGTTTGGTGCGCCCACGGTCCCCACACCCTCAGTATGATCCCACAGCAAGCTCCAGTCTCCTGCCTCCACGATCCTCGCCACAGTCACCGGCACCTGACACGAAGATGGTCCAGCAGCTGGGGTAAGTCCCTTCAAATGGGGCCAGGTCCTTGATGTCAATGAAAGGCTCTTGATGCAAGGAATTGGACCTCCCCTTCCTTGAATCAGATCTGGCCACTTATTACCCTCACGGGTATACTGCTTCCCCTTGTTTTGTTAAATCTTGTTACTTGAAAGTATATTAGACTTGTTCTTGAAGTACAGTAGTGCCTTTCAAAGGGAGTCCCTCAATTATGGTGAAGGGCTCCAGATCCAAGGAATTATAGCACTTTTTTTCCCCTTGGATTAAGCCTGATTGCCTACCATTTCCCAAATGCTGTGTCCCTTATGGATTTAATACTTCCCCATGAAAATGATAATAGTAAATAATATCAGTCTTGAAAATGTAAGGATACAAATAAACTAGGTGTAATGTTAATCTTCAGAGGTAAAATATAAACCTAATCAGTTCTGTTGTCACTGACCATAAAGGATGGTGTAGTCTTAAACAAGTGTAACAAACACACAAGTTTAACAAACAGGTCTGTGAAGACAGTAATACCAGAAGATACCTTAGGGACTGCATATTTCAACCTCACGTTGTGGGACTCCTCAGCAAACAGAAAACTACTGAAGAGGCTCTCAGTGTGAATTTCTTTAATTTATTATTATTATTGACTACAGATACCAACTACCACTCTGTGGAACTCAGGCATTAGTTTGCATTGTACGATACATGTAACCTATACCTAAGACCTCTTTGGTAAATGAATTCGTCGCTAAACGAGGATCATACTATAATGGTGGTGGATTTGTGTCAACCATCTTTGATATTGTTTTAATGTCACCTTTACACCATTTATAGCATTTCTAGTATTTTTTAAATGTTTATTCATCAGTGTACTGTATATTGTAATAAACAGAATTGAGGAAATCAGCTCTAATATACATTATTTAGGTATAAATACTGGCCAGAGAGCCCGTCGTAAGTCTGAGGCATCTGTAAACAAGTACGTTGCTAAGTGAGGAGAGGCTGTGTATACAGGAGGGGCCCGCTTATACAGCAAGTTAAGTTCTGGACTACTACTGTAAAGTGAAAATTGCTGTAAAGCAAATCATAACCTTTTGTTCACTTTCAAATGCATATAAAAGCCTGGTACCATGTTTACACTATCATACATTAAGTGAGCAATGTAGTTAGGCCTAAAAATGCATATACAGTACACACATTACTTAGCTTTAAATATTTTCATCCTCTTATAGTGAGTGGTGAATGTATTTATTTTAGGAAGTCTTAATAAATGAAGAGTGGGTATAATTAAAAACTGCTGTATTAGTGAATCATTGTAAAGTGCGACCTGCCTGTATGCACAACGGAATAAGTAAGCACAGTATTTCTTATTCACATTATTATTTTGGAAGATAGTGGTGAAAATAATACATTTGATATGGTTGTGTTAGCTCAATGTTAGCAAAGGCATTATTGAAAACCTGTGGATAAATATCAAAAGCTGAGTAGTGAGGGCAGGCAACAAGAAGGCTCATTTTAAACAGTATTTTGCATGATCCATGCGTGTTGTAAGAGGCGACTAAAATCCCGGCACCAAGGGGCTGGTGACCCCTTCTCCTGTATAAATTACTAAATTTAAAAAGAGAAACTTTTGTTTTTCTTTTTGGGCCACCCTGCCTTGGTGGGATGCAGCCAGTGTGTTGAAAGAAAGAAGAAAGATTTTGCATGATACTTATTCATCCACTCTGAGTCTGATCGCTGCACTCTCATTTACTACTTCCTGAGGACCATAGCATGTGCCACTCTTCCTCATCAGTAATTGTAAGTAACCAATGTATAATCATTATTTTTTAGGCAAGGTTGGATTATTTTAGATAAGATTAGGTTACATTTACGTAGGTTAGACTAGGGTAAGTAAATTAACCTGACAACACCATCAACAGATTCACATCTTTGGTTACGTTCGACCAGATCCATGACGTTATTCATTATGTTGAACAACCAAAATTAATGTAATATTTTCCTTAACTCCCAAAATACCAATTTGCTCAAGAAATGCTTATTTATTCCATGGTGTATATAAGTTGTACGTACAACATTATGAAGTGTAAATTATTGCCCGAGTTCTGTAGAGTAGCAGATTGTAACTGCTACTTTATTATTATTAATTATTAGGTGCTAAACCTATAAGATCATACAGAGCCTGCCTCAGTGTGAAGCTGAAAGTTATAGTGTTCACCCTTTTTTTTTATAGTTTCCTTATAGCTGTATTTGAGTCTTATTTCTTAAACTAGTGTTCCTTAAAGGGATGTAATATATGAAGCATAACCTTACCTTCCATTCCCTTCAGGAAGGGAACCCTGATGATGGTGAAGGGCTTTTTCATCCAAGGAATTGAAACCACCCTTCTTTTCCTTGGTTTAAACCTGGTCACCTTCCATTCACCAGGTTCTCTATGACCCCTATGGACTTAGGTGTCTCCCATGAATATAAGAATTCTTTAACATGCATTATGAGAGTAAATGAATATATATCACTGTCTCAGCAGGGTCACACCGTTTGGACTGCCATTCACTCTACCACTCCTCCATGACTCCAAGAAGATCTTGGAACGCAATCCCCACAAGCTACACCCACCTCCCCACTACGACCACCACGATGAAAAAGATCGTTCTCTACCTGTCTGGCCCCCAAGGGGTGCCTCCGACCATGACCTTGAACGGGAACGAGAGAGAGAACGAGAGAGAGAGCGAGAGAGAGAGCGAGAGAGAGAGCGAGAGAGAGAGCGGGAACGAGAGCGAGAAAGAGAACGGGAACGAGAGCGAGAAAGAGATAGGGAACTAGAAAGGGAGCGTGAGAGAGAAAATCAAAGAATATCGGAACAAGAGCAGGAACGAGAACGAGAGCATGAAAGGGAACGGGAACGAGAAAGAGAAAGGGAACGAGAACGTGAACGAGAGAATGAGAAACAGCAGCAACACCTTGAAGGAGGCGAGAGAGAGATTAGTAACCAGGAGTTGGAACGACGGCATGAAGACGACAAGTCTCTTAGTCCCAAAGACAAGGACAGTCTCTCCCCCTCAGAAGGTAAGTGATTCTGCTGTCCTCTACCTTGTAAAGGGACAGAATATACAGGTCAGGTATTTATTCTGATGACAGTTTACTTAGTGTTGAGCTTTAACTCCTGGCTTAATAAATCTCTACACTGAACAAAAAGTCATTAGAATAAAATCTTGCTCTGCCTCTTAACCCTATTTATTGGCATCATTTGCCTGTCAATCATGCCCGTCTCTGCCTTCAGTTTGTATTGATCAATCCCTCAGTCAGGTAGCCTTGCCTGTGACAACGCTGCAGGGGGCAAGGTCTTCCAGAATAGGCTACAGGTAATTTATAGGTACCTAAAGATGGTTCATTTCATAATGACTCCCATGGCCTGTTCCCAGACCAGGCTTCCTTGTTAGTGGCCTGATCAGTCAGGTTGTTGGTGCACACAGTATGGAATCTAATGTAGGCACCACAGTCTGTCTGATCAGAAACTTCCCTCAAAAGCTTACCAAGTTATCACTTAAAGACAGCGATATGTATTTTAATGAGAGGATAGTAGAAATCCTAAGGCATTTTCTTTACTGACTGTATATTTTTTGTGGCCCTGCTTTTTATTGGCATATTTTTTGCCATGTACTGTAATTCTCACACTAATAATACATAATTGTAGTGTGAAGACTTGGAATCAGACCCTCCAGCATCTCTTTACCATAATTCACCATTGAGATTTTTAGACATTTTTACAAAATCTCATTTCTGTCATTAAATTTAAGATAAAAGTAGTTTCAAGATTTTACATTTTTCCACACTTATTCAAATAATCGCAAGATTTTAACATAACCTTGGCAGTATGTATAACCTGGGTTCTCTCAGTTGTAATCCGAATGCTCTGGCCACTGAGCTACAAGTCATCAGAATTTGTACAACTTAAATTATACTGAGGAAAGATTTTTATTGGATTCGAAATATATTTTAAATCACACCTCCATATTGATTTCAGATGATTTGGTGGATAATGAACAAGATAAAATTGCTTTGTTATGTACTGGAAATAAAAACTAAATTAAACATCTTGTTAAAAATTGTGAAGCCACTGGGACACAAAATTGAAGCCTAAATAAGAGATATAGTCACCTATATATGGTTGCAGAGGTTAATTCACAGCTCCTGGCCTCACCTTTCAGGGGTTAAAAATCTGAACAAAATCTTATCTCACTCTCACGAAAATAGTGTTTCTTTAATTTAAAAAATCCTATAAATAAACTGAAAAACATATGAAAAAAATAATATTCTTGAGACCTCCCCCCCCCCCCACCAAAAAAAAAGAAAATCAAACATTTTAGAATGTCTTATTTTGCCAAAAAATAATAGTGTTTGAAACCTTACATTATAGATAACATTGCTTGTTGATCTAATAAAATATGTTAGGTACCCAAAACTTTTAACCCTTTGACTGTCGCGGCCGTATATATACGTCTTACGAGGTACCGTGTTTGACGTATATATACTCATAAATTCTAGCGGCTTCAAATCAAGCAGGAGAAAGCTGGTAGGCCTACATGTGAGAGAATGGGTCTGTGTGGTCAGTGTGCACCATATAAAAAAAATCCTGGAGCACGCAGTGCATAATGAGAAAAAAAAACTCCGACCGTTTTTTTTTAATTAAAATGCCGACTTTGTGGTCTATTTTCGTATAGTATTTATGGTTGTATTCTCGTTTTCTTGGTCTCATTTGATAGAATGGAAGACATATTATAGAAATAGAGATGATTTTGATTGATTTTACTATAAAAAGAACCTAGAAATGGAGCTCAAAGTAGGGGAAATGTTTGATTTTTGCCAATGTTCAAAAGTAAGCAAATGATGCCATTTTCCAGTAAATGTCCAACTAGCCATTCTAATATGCAGTCATGAATGGGTTGATGTTATTTATACAATTATTACAGTATTGCAGTAGTCTGCATAATAGTAAGTCTTCAATTTTTTGTTTGAATAAAAATTGAAAATAGAAAGCAAGAGTAATATCAGAGGGGCCTGGAAACACGACTGATGAGCAAAGAAAATGTTATTTTAGAGCCAGGAATGTCTGCATTGTTCATTCTGGACCTTATTTTGAAATTGTCATATTTTTATTTTTCGTGAAATTGGCCAAATTGCAAATTTCTGACCACATTATTAGGTAGTTGAAATCGGTAAATGGGCAGTTTCTTGTACTCAATCGATAGAAAAAATGGAGTTCTAAACAAATAGCTATGAGTTTGGGCGACTGGAACAATGGAATTAGCCAAAAATAGGGCTCAAAGCGGGCGAAATCGCCGATTTGTAAACGGCGCCGAGGTTGCTAACTTCGCGAGAGCATAATTCCGTCAGTTTTCCATCAAATTTCGTTTTTTTTGGTGTCATTACAATCGGGAAAAGATTCTCTATCATTTCATAAGAAAATTTTTTTTTTTTTTTTTAAATTTTGCGACACCAGGACATAATACGGACATATACGGCCGCGACAGTCAAAGGGTTAATAAGCCTACAAGGTAATTTTGTAAGGTAAGATGGTGTTTCATGCAGTACAGTGGACCCTCAGCTAACAATGGCATCAGCTAATGTTAAATCCAGCTAACGATACATTTTAACGCAAAAATTTTGCCTCAGCTAACGCTAAAAAACTCGCACAACGCTATTCATTCAAGACACGTCCACGTGTGGCCTGAGCACACCTCGGTTGTCCCGTGGGTGCCAGCGTTTACAAGCCAGCCAGTGCGGTCGCATCCATGCATACAATCGGAACATTTCATATTATCACAGCGTTTTTAGTGATTGTACCTGCAAAATAAGTCACCATGGGCCCCAAGAAAGCGTTAGCTGAGGCAAAATTTTCGCGTTAAACTGTATCGTTAGCTGGATTTAACGTTAGATGATGCCATCGTTAGCTGAGGGTCCACTGTATATACAGTATACTGTCCATTCCTTCCAGAGAAAATAGGCAAGGTGCTCTGTTCACTAAAATGGAGAAGACACATGCTGCCAGTAACCATTATAAATTTAATACACAATCTTCTCTGTATAAAATATGGAAAAAAAAAAATACAAGAAAGAATTTTACCCTGCCTCGGTTATCCATGCTGAGTGGGTACACTTACAAGTAATGAGCAAAGTACATTTGTCTTTCTTCTTACATTTAGTAATTTATACAGGAGAAAGGGTTCCTAGCCTCTTGCTCCCAGCATTTAAGTTGCCTTATACCACATGCATGGCTTATGGAGGAAGAATTCCGTTCCACTTCCCTGTGGAGATAAGAGGAAATAAACCAGAACAAGAACAAGTAAGAAAATAGAAGAAAACACAGAGGGGTGTGTATATACATGTATATATGCTTGTACATGCAAGTGTAGTGTGACCTAAGTGTATACCTGGAGAGAGTTCCAGGGGTCAACGCCCCCCATGGCCCAGTCTGTGACCAGTCCAACATATGAACCACAGCCCGGCTGGTCAGGCAATGACTTTAGGTGCCTGTCCATTGCCTGCTTGAAGAAGCCAGGGGTCTATTGGTAATCTCCCTTATGTATGCTAGGAGGCAGTTGAACAGTCTTGGGCCCCTCACACTTATTGTGTTGCCTTTTACCATGCTAGTGGCACCCCTGCTTTTCATTGGGTGGATGTTGCACTGTCTGCCAAGTCTTTTGCTTTCGTAGGTATGATTTTTGTGTGCAAGTTTGGTACTAATCCCTCTAGGATTTTTCAAGTGTATACAATCATGCATCTCTCCCGCCTGCATTCTAGGAGTACGGGTTTAGGAACTTCAAGCATTCCCAGTAATTGAGTGCTTTATCACAGTTATGCGTGCTGTGAAGGCTCTCTGTACGTTTTCTAGGTCAGCAATTTCACCTGCCTTGAAAGGTGCTGTTAGCATGTAGCAATATTCCAGACTAGATAGGACAAGCGACCTGAAGAGTGTCATCATGGGCCAGTCATCCCTGGTTTTGAAGGTTCTCATTATCTATCCTGTCATTTTTCTAGCAGATGTGATTGATACAGTGTTACGGTTCTTGAAGGGGAGATCCTCTGACATGATCACTCCCAGGTCTTTGACATTAGTTTTTCGCTCTATTGTGTGGTTAGAATTTATTTTATACTCCAATGAAGTTTTAATTTCCTCACATTTTCCATATCGGAGTAATTGAAATTTCTCATCATTGAACTTCATATTTTCTGCAGCCCATTTAAAGATTTTGTTGATGTCCACCTGGAGTCTTGCAGTGTCTTCAATGGAGGACACTGTCATGCAAATTCAGGTGTCATCTGCAAAGGAAGACATGGTGGTGTGGCTTATATCCCTGTCTATGTCCTATATGAGGCTGAGGAACAAGATGGGAGCGAGTACTGTGCCTTGTGGAACAGCTAGAAGTAGCAAGACATACCTGAGACAGAAAAGACACCAGCAATCCTACCATCATGTAAAACAATTACAGGCTTCTGTTATACATTTACTTGGCAGGACGGTAGTACCTCCCTGGGCGGTTGCTGTCTACCAACCTACTACCTACATTTGTGGTACCTGCCAGAACTAAATACACTTGTTCAGGCCTTCTCACACACTCTATTATAATACAGTACTCTAAGTCTTTCTGCTCAGTTCACTATATGTGATGAAATTAAATGGTACATCTTAGTTTTCTGCTCAGTTCACTCTATAATTTTTGTCTTATTTAGGTGTTGTGACGTGTGTCATTCTTTTCAGGTCACAACATGAGTTAGTCATTACATAAGCTCTTATCTTTGCATCATTCAGACCAAAGACTTGTGCCATCTTCATCACATATTCTCCACTTATGTTTATACTTCATCTTTGCACTTGTAATATCACTCACATCCTTTTTAGCTCCAGTTAACATCCAGAGATGACATGGAAGGATGAAAAGATAAAAAATCGATTCAATAACTCACAAATGAGTATGGATTTGGATGCATACGCATGGAGAACTGATGGCATGGGACATTGTTTACATTATGAATGTGACTAGGCCTCCACCATAAACATTGTTTGAGCCTGTAGACTGACTGTGTGGTGGGGGAAAAAGAACCCAAGGTGTGCCATCCTAAATGAATGTCATGGCATGCTCTTTGGAAAAATGCCGCAATTTATTTTAAACCCCCTTATTGCGAAGGCATTAATAGATCGCTTCTTAATCAACAGTCTCTTGCATTTTAATTTTAATCAGACACCATCTTCATTAGAATCTGCTAAGGAGAATTCTTAAGGACAAAATAAAGATATCTTTTACCAGTGTTACAATTTTATACCTAAGTGGTTTCTCACTTTTCATCGATCAGTTATATTATTACAGTGTTTATAACAATGTAATCCAAACTTATATTTTGGTAGTTGTGAAAATATTTATTTATTTCTGTTATTTAATTACTTTGTATATTTATTGTTTTTGTAAAAGAAACAAAAGAATTTTGACATTTCAGTACAGTAAATTAAAAACATTACTACTTTGTAAACAAAGTTGCTTTTATCATAAATTTTAATACCTCCCTGTATCTTGTAGCTTAAATGTACATTAAATTGTCTGGTATAAGTTTTAGAACATTATACTGTGAAGACTGTTGCCAAGTACAGCTCATTGTCTTCTGCCCATCCGGCAGCTAAACGAGTACTGTAGTTAGTTATTATAATAAAAAAGAAGCACTAAACCAACTGTAGTTAGTGTGTCTCTCAGTCTTCATGACAGGATCAAGCCACCAGTACTTGAGCTAGATCACTCACATGGGTTTATCTCGTCACACGAATGATAAAATTTAATTATAATAATAACAATGATAATGCCTCATCCAGCAGACTTCATCATCAGTAAGACTGAGTTGCTGACACCAGAAGGGGAGGTGGCTGATGAAGATGAGGATGGTGTGGTGGGTAATGGGGGACGTGACAATGGCACCTCGGAAATCACCACCACTTCATCCATACAGCGCACCCTCTCCACCTCATCCTCAGGAAACACTTCTACAGGTACAGGCAATTTTGGCATGATAGAATAGAAAGATTTCCAAGACGTGAGGCTGTACAAGTCTTGAGATTGGAGAAGGGAAACCTGGCTACAAAAGTAGCATTTCTGTTTGTCAGGCTATAAGAGGACAGAGGATTGAGCCTCCACCACTTCTTGAATGATCTACATTGGTTTAGTGCTGTATATAAATATGCAGTAATACATAATAAATTAAATAAATATGATTAAAGATACATCTTATGTACCCAGAAGGAAAGAGTTTTGTTTGTATTGCTACATAAACCTAATACTTACCATACACTGCAAATATAATTTTGTCTGATCAGTGGCATTTTTTTTTATCACAGTGGTTCTTGTTGCTTCCTACTTATGCTTTGATTACATATTTGTTCTGATTTATTATTGCTTGAGATGGAAGACTTTTCAGATGTGCATGACCAGCTCTTGTATTGTATTTAAATGGCACATAATAAGTGTATCTATGCTAATTTAAATTTTTTTGTCAGTTATAAATAACAAAGTCACAGGTATGTAAGAAAAAGCATTGTGAAATGATCGCTGTCATCCTGTTTCTCATTGTGTTGCTTTAAGTAACCTTCCCACTTGCTACTATTTCTATTTAATTCTATGCAGGTTCTATTATTACTTATAATAATTTGTATGAAGCATGCACGTTGTTTATTGGTCGCTGGTGTGAAGGAAGTCAGTGCTCGTGTTCTGCATGATTGGCTGGTTGCATGACCTCAGCGAGAAAGAACACCACAGTAAGAGTGACCTGTGCTCGTCAGGTCAGGGTACTCAGGCTTCAGTCTAACCTCAGCCCTCTGCCCTCACATCCACTTACCTTGCCACCATGTAAGTGGGCAGCAAGTGTAATGGGTGGTGTGGCCGGGAGCTGCATCTTGACGTACTAGCCTTGGGGTGGCTGCTTACTGGTGGTGTTGTTTCTTGCAGAGCATGTGGTGTGGGGCGAGGGGGACCCAGGAGGGGGGGGTCCACCATCTCCCTTGCTTGATGCAAGTGAGGATCCTCCTGCACGCCTTGAAGGGTGGGTGTGCTCCACATGTGGGCGGGGGCATACCTCTCTGGCAGAGCTGCGCACGCACTGGCTGGAGCATGCAAATGGAAGGCACGTGTGTGGTGTGTGTGGGGCGTCTTACTCGGTGCAGAGCTCACTGGCCCGCCACATCCGGACCGACCATGCACAGCGCCGCCGGGTATTCACCTGTGCACTCTGCGGATCAACATTCAAACACAACTTCAGCAGAAACTTACACCTGCGGACTGTTCACAGACTAAACATTCCAAACAATCGGAAAGTGGACACCACTGTCCCTGCCCCTTCCAGTTCATAGCCAGCAGCCATACCAGAAGTCCCTTGTAGTGTAGCTTAGTGTACGTAGTGTTGCTCATCTGTTCACTTTATCTAGTTTGATTACTTTTGCCTAATTTAGTAGATTGCAGTTTCTCTCTCATATAAAATAAATTTTCTCTACTACTGTATATTTACTTATTTAGCTTGAAGCATCACATAAAATATCGTGCATTGCAATATAGCTTAATTAGTTTGCCAATTTTCATGTTAATTCTTCTTTCAGTTGAGCTGGTGAAGTGTCCGTACTGTCCTCGTTCATACAGACACCAAAACAACCTAAGGACGCACATCCGGTGTTTCCACAAAGGTGTAAGGATCCCTTGCCCTATCTGTCACCGTGGGTTCACTCGATGGTTCACAGTGCGCTGCCATATTGCTCGGGAGCATCAAAATGTGGATTTTTCGCGGCCTGAGGCTTTACCAGCCCAGCTCCGCCGTGCACTTTACCCTCCCTACCCAGAGTAGCTGTCATCCTTCTTCATCACTCCAGACTCCTTCCCTACACTGCCTACAGTTCCTGGACTGCAGAGCAAGTGGTTCCTCACCGTCCACGTAGACGCCCCTGGTGCACCCCACCAGCCCTCCTGCTGACTGCCTCATCCTGGCCATCACGTGCTACAGGACCAGTGGCAGGGTTTGAGCACATGGGCCCAGCTGATATGAGCCTCAGTGTGGCAGTGAGTTTGGGTGCTACTTGGTGCTCTGTATAGCTACAAAATGTGGCAACACAGGCCGGTGGTGTCCATTTGTGGCTAGGTGAAAGTTGACAGCTGATAAAGGACCTGCTGATTAATTGCCAGCCTCCCCAGTGTTGATGGTTGGCTTAGGTGATGCTAGTGATAGTCAGACTGTTGGACTCATGTGTGGGTCTTTAGCTGTGCTTGTGAAGCACGCTAAACTGTGTTATGTATGGTCCATGGCCGGTGTTATTGTAGCTTAAAGTGTGCTAATATCATAATCCCAATACCATAGTATAAGTGTGGAGTTGTCATATGGACCTTGTTATTTGTAGGTTTTATTTGAAATGGTTATATTTTATAGAAGATTAATCACAAATCCAAGAAAGGGATGGTATGTTTTTTTGTTCATAATCTAGTGAATGATTTCTGGTGTGGGTGCCTTATGCTCAACAAAGCAAGCATGCACAAGATGTTTGTAGATGTACAGTATTATTTTTATAGATGCCAACAATTTCCCTCCAGCAAAACACAAACAGTCAGAGCCAGGGAGTGGGGGTCCCTCAGGGCCTTGTCCTGCAATGTAGCAGGACACTGGGCAGGGAGGACATACTCGCTCCTTCTCTTCTCCATTCTACTTATTGTCTCAATGTAGAATGATGCTTCATTGTCTAAAGATTTTGTATATTGTATATACTCTTCTGCCTCCCTGCCCTCATAATGCAGAAAACTGCAAGCAACATAAGAACAAGATGCTCAGGTATCCATGTTGGGTGAAGAACCCATCCTCATCTACCTCATAATTTGTATCCTTCTAGTTGTTACAGCACCTTGCTAGGTCACTTAGGCTTTCATCATTGAAGACTACACACCTCACTAAGTAGCCATTGTTAGTTTCCTGACTCTGTTGGAAAAATCTTCCAGGTCAAACGTACAAAACTAAATAACTATATTTTGTATGAAGTAATCTGGAATTGCTAACAACCTTAGTATATTAGAATTATTGCATACCAGTTCATGAAATAGTTACTTAGTGGTGATAGAAAAGAAAACCCATTGAGATGGTATCTGGGTTAAAAGGCATAGAAATAGTGATACGTATATCAAGACTCTTAGCAAGTCATACAACAATAGTTTCAAGCTCTTCAGGGATTTATATAACAAAAACAAACTCAGGAAGTAAGACGTGTATCCAATCCTTTTTATAGAGGATTACGTTTCTCTATAGTCGCGGTCTATACTCTACGAGATGTGGTCATTATTATGGTGTAGTCCATATGACCTTTACATGTAGTTTGACTTTGCTCAAGGATACAATGCCTAACTCATCCAACGACTCCGGTGATAACGGTGCTCCAATGCAGGTGTTTGTTTCTCCTTAAGAGACTTCATATTTAATTTGTTAATTATTTTCACCGGCTGCTGTTCTGACAGGGCATTATTTATCTCAGGACACAAGCAGTAGTAGTCCATAGTTTCAGAGTTTAATAGATTGGTAAATCATTAACCTACCTATAATGCAAGAATAGTTTTCTCAATCAGTCTAAACATTCCAGTGACCTCACTAGGGTTCACATTGATCTCTGGTGCGCCAGGTGTACAGCCTAGACATAGGCACTAACCTGCACTCGGCAATATTTTTGCTATTGTTCTGCAGGTTTTGTCTGTGTCGTGGAGATCACATTTGACAATCTTCATCTTTGAAAGGTTCTCTCATTCTCTTATGAACTTACCATCTACACATGATTTTACACGAAAAACCTAATAAGTACTTAATATACATCCAGAATATTAATAATTATACAAAAATCTGAGACATACAGTAATGAAATCAAATGCAGCCTTGCGACAGAGTCACAAGGGAAGTGATTGACCTAAGAAGCTAGAGGTTTTCAATTCTCCATGGCTGGCTTAAGTGTATGCGGCTGAGGAGCTTTCAAGAAAACAAGTCACCTTGGCTCTGTATTTTCTCGCATTCCCCTCATTATCTCAGAATATTCATACAGTTGCTGTCACTTAACTCAGGACTACTAATACAAACGTGTATTTTTTTGTGAATATGTTTATTTATGTACATTGTTGCAATATGTGTTCATTATTAGCTGAAGTCCGAACTTAGTTTAAGTGTGATCAAGTTTGGATTAACAATAGTGCATATAGTCAGTAGGATCACACACAGGTGCAAGCTGGGTCTCTTATGGTATGGTCTCTCTTATGCTCTTCCTTATCTTCTTTATGCTCTCCCTTATGCTCTTTTTATGTTCTCCCTCTTGGTCTTCTTTATGCTCTCCATCATGCTATCCCCATGCTCTTTACTGTTTTCCTCATGCTCTCTATCATACTCTCCCTCATGCTGACAGGCAGCATGATAGCAGTGTGGGAGATCTGCTTGTTCCAGACTCGGCACCATTCTGCCTGCTGGCCTGAAATTCTCCCTAGCAACCCTTGCGGCACACCCTTACATAACAACCTTGAAAATAATAATATAGTTCCTCCACCTGCTGGAAATATCGGCAGATTTTTAATCAAAGTTCAAAAGCCAGTTAAGCCCTGAGGATCTATCTTGATGTGATCCCCTCTACCTCTGTTGGTCAGTAACATCCGCATTCCTAAGAAACTCTCACAGAGAGTGGTTTTAAAATACTGTGTATACTGAGCATGTGATACGGCCAAGCAGAGCGGAAGTGCCCCTTTGTGTGGTCCTCCTTATAGATTTATCACATGTGTAAATATATATTACATATACAATTGATTTTACATGTTCCTCATATTTAGCCAAACGTGTATGTAACTGTGCTCCCTGTGCTCTGACGTGTGGTGTCTAACTGCAAGTTGACCAGTAGTGGGTTAGTTAGGACAGGGCTCTCATGTGCAGCATCACCTACTGCACTCATTCTCGCCTTCATCATCTTTACATCCTAACTACCTTCTGTGGGTGTTTGTTTAATTCACTGTTAAGGCCAGTATGTAATACATATATTGTTGTTTCTTTGAGTATAAAATACTGGATTTGCAGTAAGAAGAGTGCTACTTGTGAGATTTAGAGAGTAGTGATGTATCTGCATGTGAGAGCCCCTGCCACAGTAACTTTACTACAGTTCACATTTATCAGTATACAATAGTCATTTTTCAGTACAAACAAGAGTACTATCTCTGATCTACCTCACATTTAAGTTCTGAAGGCTTACATCATATTATTTGCAGATTTATTTAACTATTTACTTGTCTGGCATTAAAGGTGGCTGCTCTCTTCCACAAGCCTCCTCTTAATCTAACACCTGTATACCTCACCTCTGTTGAGTGAGACTACTGCTTAATTACCATACACAGCGTAATGTCATGTGTACTGTACATACATCCATCCCTGCCCACCACCACTGTATTGGTACAGTGTGTTAAGGCAAAATAATTATGGTACATAATGTGCAGGAGGAGGAGGGGAGGAGGAGGAGGATGACAATAGTCCTCTGAATGGCAGACAACTCGATACCTCTACACTGTTATGCTCTCCAAGGGTAGTGAAACTCATTCACTGTACCTTGAGAGACAGGCAAAATGACCTGTTGCGACAGGGATCTACCTCTTGATTGTTTGGTATAACCCAGTCACTAAGCAGTGCCACCATCCTCTCCAGCTGTTAGTACTAACTGGCAACAAGAAACCTCATAAACTTAGGGTACTGACCATGTTAATTTATCAATGGCCATGCTGATGGTCAAGCTATGAAAATATAGACAACTGTTGCATCACATGCAGCTACATCATTGTTATAGTTGCTATACTTCACTTATAACTAGACAAGTTTCAGAGATCATTACACTTGCTGCCTGGCCTCTGACCTTGCATAGGGATACAGTGACCTTGCATAGGGATACAGTATGATGCACAGGTGCTCTGCCATGTAAAGCTACAGTACAGTGTACAATGGCACCTCCATACATTGGGTGCCATGTGCTCTGCTCACAACCTGACATGCTGACACTTGACCTAGACCAGATTGGTGGTGACATATCGGTGATCCCGTCACATGGAATGTAAATAAGACTGCTCTCCAGGCTCGCTTACCCTAGCTCCTGGCTAAATCCGAGGTAGAAATGGTTTATTTTTTGCACTAATGCATTTTTAAAATACATGTATGTTAAATTGCTTGCTCAGCAAAGGTTTATAAAAATGTGATACCCATTAGTGGTCCAAAAAAGTTTATTGATACGAATATAATAGAGGTTTAAAGATAGGAGTAAAGTGTGCTGATTTAGGTGTTTAATTTTTTTCTCTGAGTGAAGAACAACTGAGGCCAAAAATACCAGTGATACAAGAAAAAAATTGAGTTTGATTTTATAAGAGCAAAATTACAATATTTCATTTTGTGTTGGTGCTTTACAACATTATTGTTTTCTGTTTTTTTATATTTTAAAATGAGAGACAAAATCAACATTATTGCAAATCCCTGCAAGGTTTGGGTAAATTAAACAAAAGGGATGACAGATGTAAGATGAAATTTAATGTAGAGCAGTGATGTGTAATTGTGAGAAAATGTTGAAAACATTAAGGCAGTGAGAGGAATCTAGTTGTTAGCAGGGAAAGGTTATCACTGGAAGATCTTATTATTAAACTAGAGAAAGTCATTAATTTTACTTTCAAACTTTAAAATAGCCTTTTGATATACTATGTAGGTATGGAAAATGCTGTAAAGGAGCTTATGAATGGCCAAAACTGAAATAAATGCAAAGATAATAGAGAAAACTCAGACAAGCAACAAAGAATGGCTGACAGGAGTAAAAGAAGAGACATGATAACAGCTTAGTATTAAAAAAGGATAAAAAAAAAAAGATTTCTTAGCATCATCAACAGGACAGGATTGTCTATTATTTTCTTTGTTTCGTATAAAAAAAGTGTTTTCACTTTTCTTCTTATTTCAAAAGCATTTTCTTGGGTTTTATAATTGTCAAATGTATAAACAACAAGAACGTGCATGGCAAGATTAATTTACGGATATTTTATTTTCGTAAGTGTACTGTATAAGTTACCTAATTAGTCGAGGAAGCAGAAAATACTATTGATAAATGGCTATTTTTTTTTTTTCAGTGAACCAGCTGTATCCCACTGAGGTAGGGTGTCCTAGAAAGAAAAAGTTTTTCTTTTTAAATTTAGGAGAAGGGGTTACTAGGCCATTGCTCCTGGCACTTTAGTCGCCTCTTATGACACACATGGCTTACGGAGAAGTATTCTTTTTCACTTCCCATTGGAGATAAGAGGAAATATAGAAGAACAAGAACTACCTATTAAGAAAATAGAAAACCCAGATGGGTGCGTATATATATTTATATATATATTATATATATATATTATATATATATTTATATATATATATTTATATATAAATATATATAATATATTATATATATATAAAATTATATATATTTAAATATATATATATAAATATATTATATTCTATATATAAT